ATGCACACTTACATCGTGCCCCAGCGTAAGGTTAAAATGGTTTCCCACTTACATAGTTTTCGGTGCAAGGTTAAAATGTGATGCCATCTTACAACGTGCCCCGGGGTAAAGTTGAAATGTCATGTCCACTAACACTGTATTTCTTAATAAAGTTAAATGAGTTGCCCGCCGACATCGTGCCCGGGGTAAGGTTAAAATGAGATCCCCACGTGTATCTGGGTAAAGTTAAAATGTGATGCCCACTTATATCGTGTTTCTGGGTAAAGTTAAAATGTGATTCCCACTTATATCCTGGAGTAAAGTTAAAATGTGATGCCATCTTACAACGTGTTCTAAGGCAAAGGTACAATTTGATGCCCGCTTACGTCGTGTATCTGCGTAAAGTTATAATGTAAAGCCCACTTACGTTGCAAACGGATGTTTACAGCTCTCCGCCCCAACCATCAAGCACTCTAGTTCAGATTCATTTGCATGAAACCAGTAAAGCTGGTTTAGTCCAAATGCAAACGCCATCCATACTAAACAAAATATCATCATGAACTTGGTGGTGTCCAGCAGCATTCTACCCAGCGATATCTGCATAGGTCCTACTTGTAAACTAACAACAGTAATACGTATGAGACGAAGAAAACTCAAAGCTTTGGCAATGCCGAACATGCCATGCGCAAAAACGGCAGAAAAGGGTAGCGAGTACTGTTCAATGTTTGGTGGTTGGGTCGTAGGAATGTCCGTAGAAATAGTGACCTGAACTTCGTCACCGCTGATACCACCATAATCTTCATCGTCGATAAATTCAAAGTCCATGCTGGACATATTGAACAACGCTCCATTGACTGAAGTAGGCGTGGACACATTCGATCTTAGATGTAACTGTGAAATAAATAAAAACTTGTTATTTACGTTGCATCCATTTAAATGAAGTGCAAGTAGAAATATTGTTTTGTCAAAATATAAATTCAGTAAGTAAAACCATTTAAGTCGCGGTTTCCACCTCTCAGATACACTACGCTACACTACACTACACTACAATACACCAGCACCGTACTTCACGCCACACATAGAACACGATACAATTACTGCGTTTACCTGAGAGAAGAGAATTATACGAGCCACAACCCACGTCCAGTATAGAATAAACGTCGTATAATCAAACATCTTGGATTTGATGTCGTCTCGGAATGCCGACAATCCCTTCGTAAATGCACATATCCACTCTTCCCACGTCATGCCTTAAAAATAAAAAGTGAAAATTGCTGGTGTGTACACTAAATACTCCAAAATACTAAATTGTCCAATTTCTGAGGAACACATTGATTTGTAAGTTCATCTTGCAAGTTCTTGTTCAATGACTAGTCGTGGGTGGGATTTTTAGGGTACATGTACAGGTATGAGTTGCAAGAGAGTTAATCGGTATCTCAGCCATATGATATATAAACATATATTAATATATGATAATTCTTACCTATTATAAATATTATAATCAACCATTCTGTCACAGAGAATGGGCCTTTTTTGTCTCCGTACTGTGCTATATGTAAAAGTTCCTCTGGACTCGACGGTTTTATATTTATAGTTAATGTTTGGAGACTTAATAGTATCAGGAATGCCATAGAGGAAGCTGTTTGCATAGAAAATTTAACATACGGAGACCGCAGTAACTTTGTTGATTTCGAATCCGGTGCCACAATATAACATATGGAATACATTGGATAGCTGATAGCGAAGTATAATGTGTACATCATAGCCTTGAATAGACTGTGTTTCCTCCACTGGTGCAGGCCGTGGTACCATCGCTGTATTAACAGTTGTTGGCAGTGAGGATGGGCTATAAACTGTGAATAAACATAGATAGCATATGTACAGTGACTAATATTAAAGTGTTCAATGTATCGCACTACCGCGCGGTACAACCCAACATCGCGCCACGCAATCCATTATATCGTGCGATATAATCCAACATTACGCTACATAAACCATTATATCGTGCGATTTAACCCAACATCGCGCCACACAATCCATTATATCGTGCAATACAACCCAACATCGCGCCACGCAATCCAATAAGTCGTGCGATATAACCCAACATCGCGCTACACAAACCATTATATTGTGCGATACAACTCAACATCAAGACACGCAATTCATTATATCGTGCGATATAACCCAATATTGCGCCACGTAATCCATTATATCGTGCGATATAACCCTACATCGCGCCACGCAATCCATTATATCGTGCGATATAACCTAACATCGCGCCACGCAATCTATTATATCGTGCGATATAACCCAACATCGCGCCACGTAATCCATTATATCGATACAACTATTAGTGCCATGTGGTATAACCCATTATTTTGCGATATTAGTATCGGGGATATAACCCGCAGCATACACAGATTGTGACATACACTATAATGTAGACAGTGACATAAATCGCGAAATTGATTGGTGTTTCGTTTTCTTGGTCTCTTTCTACGATGGTTATGGAGGTGAGCAGTCTGGTATTGAAATCACCGTGTCGGATTAAACAAAAACAGAAACAGAAGCAAATAATGTTTTACAATTGAAGAATGGACCTTTCTCGGATTAAACTTTTCAAATAAATGGGAAATACATACTACAAATCTGCCATTGACGGATATACACTAATTTGCTATTCTGTTAGACCATAGACCTTAGAAAGAGACTAGAGTCTATGGTTAGTCCTTGCCTGCTCCAATGGAACAGTTTACTATATTTAAGTATGTAAATATTAAGCACTATTTAAGTTGGATAATCACAAATAATAGTACTCGCGAATCTCGCTAATCTACATCACGTCCATTATAAGCTTAAAGGGGCACTTCAAGTTAAGCCTAATCTCACAACAATATTACTTCTGGATTAAAATTACAATGGATAACAAAAAAATAGATCAACATTGTAAACAACATAAACAATAGTGTCCCATGATTCTTTGGTGCAATCCCTGGGTTTGGAATACTGCCTTTAAATATATGGGCACTAATCATTATTCAATCATTTGAAGATTTGAAGAAAACGTGTCAACAACGAACGCTTGTCTTTTTGAATATCTATATAACATCAAAGTACTACGCTGGCATGTATATAGGCAATCTGCGTTTAATCTCTTTAATTGTTTGCATAAATGGAAGGTTATGTTTCAAACACAAGTATTTGCGGTTTTAGTTGTTACATGTTTCTTTGTAATACGCATCTGTCTTACGCTTAATAGTGTGCTGGGGTTGCCGGGTTTAAATCAAATATGTAACACTGTCAATAATAATATACTACAAATTTCGACGACTGTTAATTTCTTATTATTCCAAATTAACGGAATTGAGAGAAACGCGATACAACAATTACAAACATAAGATTGCAAAAACATCAGTGTTGATGGGTTAAAGTACAGACTTATATACACGATTGATTATCCACCTGTTCTTGGTGTGTTAGCTGAGTGCTTACAACTGTGCACACAGAAGATAGATACCACTGTAATACGTGATAGACCCCTACTCTACTTTATTACCCAATAACGTCTTCACAGTATTAAACTATGATAAACTAGAGATCTTGCTTTGCAACACACAGTTTGTTCGATGGAAAAAAGCACTAATACACAACATGTGCAACCTGGCGTGTGTTACTGTACATACCAAAACATCAGCACACATGTGTATAAGAACCGAGATTAAATCTTACAAATAAATATTAGTTTGACAACTTATTCAGAACACGATAACCCAAAGTCCAGTTTACCAATACAACAATATAACACATTACATGTAAATACTGTAGTTTGATGTTCATCTATAAATGAATGCCTGGTTGGCCGACGCCTGTAAATCATGTTGTGTTTCGCTGGAAATATTATACTTTATTATCAGATGTCTTAGCAATAAATAGCTTGCATTTCAACCGCAACAACAAACCGAGTACTTTTACAATCAAACACTACTCAAGTTGACTCTTAACATTTTTTGCAAAGTATATACTATTCAAATTTAAAATGGATTTTTGCGACAAATTCCGAATCTATTTTTGGGAACATTTGGTTAATTGTCATCACAGCTAGCCTTTTACCTGCAATTGTCGATAATGTATGGCTTTGTTCAAGGTGAAATACAACTGTAAATACAAAGTCCCACTCGCGACTTTCCCATATTCATTTACCCGCTTTTGATTTACAACACTTACCCGTTTTTGTTTATGCTTAACAGCCTGTTCCACAACGGGGAGTTCCAGACTATTTCGCCTTCCAGCTGAAACCTTTTCCGCATCGTGACTCAGTACTAACACCTGTTCTTTAGTATCACGTATGCATCCCAGTAAATCCGCTGCATACTCGTCACACTGAGTGGTCAACTCTAAATACAGAGTTCGGAACTCGTAGTCTCTCTCACTCAGCTCCCTCAGCTTGGAGCTCAGTTTAAACGCATCTGTGATGGGATCGCTACAAGTCAGTGACATATAAGCTTGACTAGCCAGGGCCCTATAGATGTTAAGAGTTGCCTGTGAATGCTGGAGCGTAAATTTGGCGGATGTGAAGCTGAATGACTCTGGGTCTTCAATTTTAGCACCATAGTCCAGGAGAAGTTTGATGATGTCATGGTTGTTGTGGTGCGCTGCTAACACAAGTGGCGTAAGATCAGGGTGAAAGTCCCCATTTAAAGAACGGCAGTAAAGATTTTCCTGCAAAATATGAAAGGAGGTTATCTTCAACTGACATGCAGAGAACGGCAAGATTTAACACAATTTCTTTTATATAATTTTTACTATCACATACTGCTTGTACAGTGCTACTAAAGGGATGAGTTATATGGAATTAGTCGAATAAAACTCAGTATAAAGTCAGAAACGCGACCGTTGGCTAAAACGCGTTCCCCGTCGATACGCGCGTGAAAATCATTGTTCTAACGCCATTCATTTGCAACAAGAGTAAGAGAACGACATGATATAATACGCGTTTGCCCCGAAGGTGCGTCGTAGCAGTGTTTGTGTGGTCACTGCACATAACTGAACTTTCAGTCGCGCGTAATATAGTGTTAATTTGATTAACTGTGCAAATGTGCATGTGTTATAATTACTGGTACGTATAATTAATTCAAAATGCACGCGCATCTGCGCCGTACGTCATTTTATAAAAACGTACTATCGTGGCTTCTGTAAACGATAATTTTTAGGATAAATTAGAATACAGTATGAATATTAACACGCAATGTCTTGGTAATCCACGTTGACTCTTAAAGTAATTGCTCTAACTGAACTATCACAGCTCGCTTTATCTTTATGACGTTCAAATCATAGGTATATTTAATTGATTGAATTTGGATGGAAGGAAATAGTAACTCTGTCAGCCATGATGATACACGTCAAGACTACGTTTGACATAATTGTGATGAGGTCAAAAAGCCAGTGCTTAAACAACCATGATACTAAACCCGAGATACAGCAATAATCTTAATGTCGTTCCAAAATCATTGGTAAAACGAAATGGTTACTTAACAAATAGTAATACCCTCATGCAGGGTGTAGAATTGAGTGGATTAGAGGCACGCGGGGTATTTCTCAATGTATACATCGACACGTCTGAATATTATTCGGATAAAGACCGTATGACATCCACGGAACGCTCCAGATAGGCTGACAATGAACCCAATTTTTGGTTTTATTTTTCCGATCTCTCGCTTCTCCTATTTTTGCTTCTCCGCACTCGCCTCCTCCCTTTTTTCCCCCTTCTTCCTCCCCCTCCTTCTACTTCCCCTTCTTCTCCTCCTCTTCCTCATCGACCTCCGCCTCATCCACGAAGCAATGAACGGGTCACATGCAACATCTCGAAGGTCTAATCAATTTATGTAAGTCAGTTTCTCTTACCAGTTGATTGGATTTCTTGATATGTTCACAAATTACCTCCACTGTCGACACTATCTGTTTGTCTACAGCTCGCAGCAATGCGTCTCCCAAGTCAACACCATGATCCAGCAGTATGTCAATGACATCTGAAATGAGATGCAGAAATCTAGAATCTCATAAATCAAATCAAAGATATCGATAGCAAGCAATCTGTACACAATTACCTTATCTTTTTCTTCAAATTAGGGTTCAGAGAGTGGAGTCAAATACCAAGATTAAATTGGTATCTACTTCTAATAATATACTTTTGACCTGCACATTTTGAGCACAGTTCTTGCAAACCCGTATACTGAACCGCGTAAATGCTTCTATTTCAAACAATAATTAGGACTCAAAATGTCAGGTAATTTTATACTTGGTATGGTCGCGAGTTTTGTAACCACAAGCATCGGCGATCCGCTCCGCTAGGATTGCCCTTATAATTACTTTTGTGTGTGTGTCGTCTTTCATGTTTTTTTTGGAATAGACCGATTTGGTTCAAACCTGACCAACTGGCAGGTCACACCTTCACCTTAGATAGATGGTAAAATTTGAAGAAACAGATTCTAGCCCACTATTTCTATAGCAACAATAAAAAACAATTATTTGTCGCTAAATATATTTCCTCCTACAAATCTTTGAATAAAAACGTCGGACATATCTCATTCTAATTTGCTTGAGTGTGTGCTTAAAGTTATTATTTTGTTTTTGAGTTAACGCCAGTGCTTACTGGATTGACACATTCAGTTAGTTCAGTGCTAGTCTGTGAGTAAGATAATGTGTATACCAGACATTAAAACCATCCTAGATAGATTTTGTAACTTGATTACTATAGTTCTCCGTGTGTGCAAGGCGTTCATACATTCAGTATATACTAGACATGGTCACGTGGGTACTCTTGGTTGATGTTTCGACAGTGCTTTAGTATGATCGTATAAATATTACGTGAATGTAATCGTTTTCCGACTTAAAATACATCTTCACACGCACTGCGTCCAACACTATCATTAGATTAATTAAGCTCGTACATCAAGATCTTATTTCGTGATAGTTTGTGACTAAAACAATCAAACGAAGACCTTTTGATAATATATTACGTAATAACTTATTATGCGATGGAATTGTCAACACGTTATCATTTCAAGTGGCCATCGTGGAAGTGTGCTCGAATCCCAGTGCCGCTAAATGTGCCGCTGACCAACGATTTGTCATTTCAATGGTCAATAAATCACATCAAATCCCATTAAACACTCGTGTATCAATATATTGCTTCCAATAGTATCCATATAATGACTGAAGTACTTCATTTGTAATTTGTGTGGGTTTCTTTTGGTGGGAGCATTTAAGTTTTATTGTCGGCAAAACTTTAGTTTTAAACCTTTTCAGTTTCTAATATCTTGACGAAACATCTGACAGGTACGGTGTCCGCGAGCTATACTGATCGAAATATGACGTATTGTGCCGTTTATCAACTAAGTTATTATTGTTTTCACAATTCCCATCATGCATTGTTATTTCCAATATGGCTCCAACTTGAGCTAACCTAGGAGGTAGATATTTTACCTTGTTCAATATGCACATAGTGGTTGCATGAGTAAAATTACAAAAGAGAGGAAATACAGTAAACAACTCAGAAGTCTACTATAGTGGAAAATAGAAAATACTTCGAAAACTAATTTTAATACAGTTAATTGTCGATCGTCGAACAGAGAATGCAACTGTTTTTTTTTTGTTTTTGTTTTTTTGTTTAATTTTATTTTTTTTAAATTAGATAATATCGTGACCAAATTGTATTTAGAAAAAATGACATGTTTTTAAATATACGTGTTCAGTGCAACATGATTGTATTGCTTAATTTACAACATTATGACGAAGGACGTCGCCCACGTCGAGTTTTTGTTTTCAGATTTTAATTAGAATGAAGTGTTTCAATAATAATAATTGAATTTTAAATTGAATTAATTTTAATAATGTT